ACTATCATCAGTGCCCTGCCATCCTTTCTTGGTTGTCCATTGTATCAACGCACGCAGGATAAACTTTTGTTGCCCTATAGGCTTAGTTTCACAGCAGCCCTGGGACTATGGCATGACATAGTACAATATAATATGATATGGGTCTTTTTCTGAACTTTCTGTCATGAGTAATCTTTTCAAGCTTGGTATTTGGTTTTGGTCCTTGCACTGCAGATGGAGCTGTTTCACAGTAACATTGTCAGTCACGCATTGTTCATACCAGCACTTAGTTATTTACTGAGCCGGGTTGTACTAGGATCTTCTAAACATCAGCCTGTATGCAGGGACAGGCATTTGGTGGGATAACCAAACATCCTGCTGAGCCCCACATGGAGCTGTTGGTGACCTAATGAAATGGTAAATGATGCCCACTAAACAACACCCTCACACTCTCACTGTAATATTTAGGTCGGTTGTTATTAAAGGTGTAGCTTAATGGCTTAGTGTGTCATTGGTTTGATGTCTTCTGAAATGTATTTTTGACCTAAACATTGTCAATCATTGTCATCCTGTTTACTGGCAAATGTCTCTTACACCCTCACCATACATATACAGTGTATACAGCTTCAAGGGTGAACTAAAGTGCTAACAAACCACAGCTAAAGAAGATGGACGAGATGAGGTAATCAAACATCTGCCGGCTAAGAGTCTCTGACAAACTGTTCCTCAAACGTCTGTTACTCTCTTTGTCTTTCATAAATGCACACACACATTACTCTGTTCTCGCTGCACCTGGTGACCCTCCTTGTGAACCTGACACAAACACACTCACATTTATTCAGTTGCTCAGGTAATTACACACACACACACACACACACACGCTCACACAGATCAGTCAGTTTTGTTTCTCGTCCAGCTGCAGAAATGTTCAAAAATGCAGGAAAAACTGGATTAAACCGTACACCCCTCACTGCCCATCCCCTCTGTCCACACTCACACAGTGCTGGGGTCAGAGGTGTTGCCTGGTGAGCAAGCATAGTAAGGTTAGGAGGCAGAGTTCACTCCTGTGACAGGTGAAAATGCTTTCGTGCGTTTGTTCCCTGCAGGCCTGAGGGCAGGTGAACTGCAGCCTCTAACTGCCTCGACCAGAGTCTCCACATGCAACAAATGTTCACTGTCACCCCTGTTATACAAGTCTTTATGTTTCACACAGAGCATCTGATAAATGATCCTTGATTAGTTGCTTTGATCGAGGCAACTTGACGTCAGACATCAACCCAGTTGACAGCTTTATCCCTCCATAACAGCCCTAAAATAACAAAGAAATATTATGATTTAATGAGAAATTTTAAATAGATCATTAACAAATACCACCTCAAAACTGTAACTGAATAACATATTCAAAAACTGAAATGAAACAACAATTCAGACTACTTTAACTCCATGCCAGGCCATCCCGTCCATGCAAACCACTAATTTTGTGGGCTAACCATTTTGATGATGTAATAAGTATAACAGTTATCTCACATTTTCTTTATTAGATCACAGCAAATGTTCAGTCAGACTTTTTATGCACCTAATATATATATTGACGTTTCCATGCATTTGGCAGTACATCCAACCAGCCTCACAACCGCACAAATCGGTTACAAAGAGGAACTACTCTCAGGTCCAGACCCTGGTGACAATGATAAGCACGCAGACAAGCTTCTCTGAGACGGTTTCTGACCGTTTGTGCAGAAATTCTGTGGTTGTACAAACCAGTTGTTGCATCAGCTGTTTGGATGTCTGGTCTCAGAAGATCTTGCATGTGAAGACGCTGCATGGGAGGCTCTAGGCTGGTGTGGTTACATGTGGTCTGTGGTTGTGTAGCCCGTTGGATGTACTGCCAAATCCCTGAAGCAACGTTGAAGATGGCTTATGACAGTGAAGTGAACATTCAGTTTACAGGCAACATCTATGGTGGACATTCCTACAATCAGCATGCCAATGGCACGCTCCTTCAAAACTTGTGACATCTGTGGCATTGTGTTGTGTGATCAAGCTGCACATTTAGAGTGACGTTTTATTGTGACTATGCAGTTTAATCAGCATCTTGATTTGCCACACCTATCTGGTGGATAGATTATCTTGGAACAGAAGTTGCTCACATGAATTTTAACAAATTTGTGGCCAAAATTTGAGAGAAATATACAGTTTGTATTGAGTACATGAAAAAAAGTGTCATATCTTAAACTTGAACCTGTGAAAATGGGAGCAAAAACAAAAGGTTTGCATTAGAATTAGAATTTATGTTCAGTATAATATGATATTATAGACGTTAAATAAAAATGATATCATGTTAGAATAGGTGAACAAAGTAAGAAAATAGTGACTGTTTGCTGCCCTGTACTGGAAACCAGCATCCAGCAATGGTGTGACTCAATTTCTAATTAAGTTTTAACCATAAAATACATAAAAACAATGAAAAAATATATCCCTACACCTGCCTCAGTATTAACAAGACTTAAGTATAACAATGAAAGTGAAGATTGATTAACAAATTCAGGAATATGTAGAAAGTTTATTTAGGTTAAAATAAAAACAGACAAGACACACAAAAACAAATGTTAAAAACGCCATAAAATAGAAACATATAATTAAAAGAGAGAAACACGAATAGGTACAGCACAAACTAATCTCTGCACGGGGGCTCAGTCCGGTGTGAGGGGAGTGATGCGGCAGAAAACGGGCCGGGACAAAGCCGGTTAACCAGCGGGGGAGAGTGCGAGGGGCCCGGGGGAGCTGCTGGTGCCAGGGTCGTGGGATCAGAGCAGGTCATGGAGGTGTGGGAGTGTCTGCTCGGCCCTCTGACCTTTGTCCCCGAGGCTTCCTATAATCCCGTCCTCAAAGACCATACGGACATAATGGAGAGCCCATGAATGGAGTTAAATGGTGACCATTAGGCGGATCTGTGTCGCTATTCTTCGTGTTTGTTTAGTCCCGGTCAGTCTCACGTTTGCAGTGTAATCAGGCGTGTGATGGAGGGACGGCTGGAGACGCCTGGAGAGGCCTGCAGAGAGCACCGCAGGACAACAGTTTATTGGAGATGGATATCCACCTAAATTTAATGAATGACAAGACACAAGAGGGCAGAGAGGAGAGCAGAGGGGGGCCGTAATTGGATGTCCACTTCAGATTACTCGAGTCCCGACCAGAGTTCACAAGTGGTGTACACAGGAGGAGGCCAAAGCACCTCTTCCCAAAACGGTGTGATCAATGCATAGGTATCACAGCCCTATGAATAGTCTACTGCTATTATGTAAAAGGCGTCCCCCATTTAGTCTCATACTGACGCGCTGACAACCCCTTTTAAAACCTCTGTCAATCAGAGATTATATCATTTCAGGGTAAATGCTGTGAATTAGAGGAACATTACTCAAGAAAATAAGATTTGTGTTAGAAAATTGAGAAATATTGTTTCTCTTCTGGATTTTTTATTTATATATATATATTTTAGTTTGTTTTTTTCATGTAAAAACTTTTGCTTTGCTGAAAGGTCTATAGTGTACATAGATTTTATATTATTTTATTTTTATTTTATCTTATCTTAATTTTGTGTTCCTTGACTTGAAGTGATGGGAGATATTAAAAAATCTGGCCATCACTTTATAATAATGCACCATTTATCAAGTGTTTATAACATGTGGCTTTAATGGCTTTAATTATGGTTAACAGATCAGGTATACGCCTTTAATTGCAACTCTTGGGTTGTAATTTGTCTGGCTGTTGAGTCATTAAGTCATTAATAGAGGCTCACTTTTAAATAAACTAGCAACTTTGCAGTTATAAATGTTTATAATTTATTTAAAAAAAGGTTTTCACAACAATCTATCAAGTGTTTAACTGTTTACAATTGTACTGCCTTATGTTTTCATGATAAAAAGGCAACCTATTGTAGATGAGAATATCAACATTGTTATGAGCTCCGTTTAAAGACTCATTGTAGCGATTTTAAATAGTAAATCGAAACAGACCAAGTAACAAATTGTACGACAAATAAAAAGTGTGTCTGTTGAAGAAAACGTAGGCTATAATAAACCACATTATCAGGCATTATAGCTGACAGATAACACTGAGAAGTGCAATATAATCTGACATAAACTTCAAAGTAATTAATTAGTAATTTAAATCACTATTTGTTGTGTGCTTCTTGTCTAGGCTACATCTCGTAAGCAGGGGAATTTCACAATGTGATTTTCTTTACTGTCAACTGATCACAGCTGGAGTTCACCCCGGCTATTTTAAAGATGCATTTCGCTTCAACGCCTTATGTGCTTTCATCATCATCATCATCACATCATCGCCCAATTTACAGTAAAGCCCCACATACAGTAGATGTGGTGGGTAGTGGTCTGGTGCCTTTATGTGGAGTAGACTGACACCTAGCGTCAGATTGAGACAACTGCAAGGGGTCTCTGATCTGCTGTATGCGTGAATTCATGCACCCCATTCAACACCACAGTATTATATAAAAATAAATGAAATAAATATAGGCTATATATGTCTGTAAGTGATCTCTCGTTGAGTTTCTTTGTAAGGTAGGCCTATGTAAAGTATTGGCTGTCTGTGCTTTTCCGTCTGTCTTCTCAAACACAGCCAAAAACATGTCAGTCATGCAAAACCAGTTTTTCTCTGGGGTTGTTTTTTTTTACTCATGAAAGACTTAAAAACCAGATGGTGACGCCTTTTTTATGCGCCGTTGATTTCCTGATAGTTCTCTGGAAGTTTTGTGGAAAGTAAAATGCAAATAGGCTAGTTACATCATTTTAGACATCTTTGATGTAGGCTACAGGTAGTGGCGGGGGCAGGGTGCTTTGACTCTAAAGTCCTGTTTCTTGCAGCCTAATAGAAGCTTGCTGCCTGTTTCTGACCGCTCCTGATCATAGTGGTGAATGGATGATATATTAAAGGGATCAAAGACCCTGTTGGCACCGTGTCATTACTCCGACTCCAGCTCGCCGCGGCCCCCGGCGCTCTGCATACCTTTCCGGGCTGGGCAGAGCCGGGGAGGCGCTCCGAGTGGCCCTGGCTGGCTGCGGTGGGTGTGTGCTTCTTTTTTCTATATAAGCACCTTCTGCTCAATGCATTTTTGACTGCACATTCACTGACAGCATGGCGAACAAAAAGGAGGCACCCCTGGGCTCCATCGAGAACCCGATAAAGTTCAAGGACCAGGACTTCAAGACTCTGCTGGAAGAGTGTCTGAAGTCCGGAGAGCTGTTCGATGATCCGACCTTTCCACCTGAGCAGAAGTCCATCGGTATGCCGGAAGATCCGGATCCAAAAAAGGCGATCAAGTGGCAGCGACCCAAGGTAGACCACCAGGGCGTCCTCTGTGCATGTGTGTAAAGTTATCTTTGTATGTAGGACGCTTTTGGTCTTTACTCTGATCACGTACACAGCACTTTAAACTGTAATATAATCAATAATCCTGCCATGTCATAGCTTCCTCTGCAGCCAGAAACTAAAAATGCATATGTTGCCACCATATAAAACAAGTTCTGCAGGTATACCACCCTTTAGCCTAGTTTAATCCAAAGGAATGTTGACTTCATGTAGTTGTTTGGCCACTAGCGCATGTTTAAACCGATGCCTAAACATTAAAATACTTTTCCCAGTATGTTCTTAGCATTGCTTCTGTACAGTCAGAGACTCTATAACTGCTGCAGGGTTGTGGACAGATGTTTAGCTGATCGTGATTCAGCCAGGTGTGGCTCAGGTCTGAACAATTTCTTATCTGGAGCAGTTCCTCAAAAGAGGAGGAAAGGTTGAGTCAGAAGGTTGATTTCTGAGAGTAAAAAGGCACAGCACATATTATAGATTAAATGTGGGGTAATAAAAAGATTCAATACATTGACAAAATTTGTAAACTACATGATGAAGGTGGAAAAGTGTGGATTTAGGATAGAAATTATGAATTGTGGATACAATAGGGCTGCAGCTAATACTTATTTTTATTACTGAGCCACCCTGATTTCTTTCTTGATGAATTGTTTGGTCAGTAAATGCCAGAAAATAGAATTCATAACATCTTTTTTCACTGTTCTCCAAATGTCTTGTTTTGCCAACTGTCCAAAACCCAAAGATATTCAGTTTAATGTCATAAATGAGTCAAGAAAAATAGCAAATATTCTTATGTCAGATACCCTAACTGGCGATATTTTGCATTTACGTTTTAAAAAGCACCTTAACAATTGTTCAAAATGATTAAAATAGTGCTGATTAATTTTATGTGGATTTTCTAATTGATTAATTTGCATAATATCAGTATGTGGTGTCAGATCACCTTGTGCTCACATTGTCCTCCCCTTGCTCCATCTCTGAAGGACATCCATGACAACGCTGTGTTTGTGGAGGGCACGACAGGGACCACTGACATCTGCCAGGGCCAACTGGGTGAGTACACAAGGAAAACTTTATCTTCTATGCACATCTCCTACCCACTGCTCATCCACTCTCCCAGAGGGCTGAGAAACTGGGATACGTCATGCTGAATGGTCCAAAACTAGCATTGCACAACATCCTGGAAAAGTTACATCCACATCACTAAAAGCTGAAACATTCCTTCACGTAGTCCAGTTTATTCCTATTTATTTGACCACAGTACAATGCAATGACTTCAGAGCTCCATGTCTGCACTGCACAGCCCCAGGGACCGAACTTCAAACACACAGCGAGGGGGAAAGAGGAGTGACACACTGTGTTCCCTAAATCTGCAGGGGGTCCAGACCCCATCGCAGTCCTGCCTTTAATGGCCCACAGAGTCGGCTCAGATATGTGTTGTTCAGTGTGTTTCTTATTTGTGGTGAACTACAAGATTGTTTTGTACAAAACAGCAACTCTCCCTCCACCTCTGGGATTTCTGAAATGATGGTTTATGTCACCAGTTGCGTGCAGATATATCTTCAGTGTTGCACATGAATAACATGTCGAAGTTTAATGTCCTCACTCAGGCTGTGTGGTTCGCGCAACATCTCCAGAGGAGCAACATGGAACAGATGTTCGCCAACAGAGAGGAATTTGGCTTATTGTGTGTGTGTGTGTGTGTGTGTGTGTGTGTGAGGGAGAGCTGAACCTGACTGAAAAGCATGAATCATGCCTCACTGGAGATCAGTGCCTCCTGGGCTCTTAAATAAAGTTATATCTGAAAGTTATTTGTCAAGAATTCTCTGCGATGTGTCCATATTTTGTCTCTTTTGGTTTATCAGGTAACTGCTGGCTGCTGGCGTCCCTGTCCTGTCTCACCATGCACCCCAAACTCTTTGAGAAGGTGGTGCCGCCCAACCAAAGCCTGTGCAAGCCTTACGCAGGGATCTTTCATTTTAGGGTGAGTAGATGTACGACACAGAGCCAGCTGACTTCCTGACTTCTTTGCTCATGAGAGAATCTGCTTAACCCCCCAGTCAAGCCAACTGAGACTCACATCTTGTTTGCTGCTGACCAACCCTCCCAAAAAATCACACACAAAAACACAAAATCCTCCTCATATGCTTATGATTTAGTGCACCATATGTCACCTATAGCTCCATCTTATCTCTCACCCCATCTTTGCCAGGACACGTTGCTCAGTATTCTTTAGGAAACCTTATACTTTAATAAGCTGTAATTACACTGAGATTTGAACCATTTATCGCAACTACAATATGCATTATAGTTTGTAGCTGTGGCTCTTCTTGCTCAATGCTCCAGAAAATATCTACTCTTGTGGTAAAATTTTACTTTGTTTGATAAATATACACAATGCAAGGACAACATCAACTGACATGATAAGGGCCTTAAAAGAGCACTGCACTGATTTAGCTTTGCACTTCTATCACATTGCTGGACCCAGTTTTATAAAAAAAAAAAAAAAAGAACAAAATTAATGCAGCAGAACCAGAGACACATTCCCTTGTAAAAACCTGATGCCTACATTACCCACAATGCAACGTAACCACCAACAACTTGATGCTCTCAAATGTTTAGAGTCACTCATTAAGGTGTATTCCTGCTTTATGACCTTATAGGTCTGAGGAGGGGTGCCCTGCATATTTTCACGACATTTATTATTTCAAATGATCATCTTCAGTCTGATATTGCCTCCCCTCTAATTGATTTCCATGGAGGAAGTAGATTTGATTTTCCCTAACCACAGACCCATGTGTTCGCTTGAATCGAATGCCATTTTAAGTCCACACTGACCACAGCCATGCCAACATACCTGTATTGCTGGGCTTTTAAGAGTGGAGCAGAGCAATGTAAAAACAAACTATGATGTTTGGCGACACTGAGAAGACATTTTGATTTAGAAAATCAATAGAAGCATCTATTTTGTCTATAGTGGTTGCCATTACTCCTCACTGGTTCCAGCACTCTGCTTGACAACAGCTTGACAACATCATTAGTCCCGCCCATGGCGCTAGTTGACTAATTGAGTCCCCCCGCAGCTCTTATTGGTTGTTTTTTATTTTAACAGAGGAAGCGCTGCTTCATGTCACCAGACAAATCAGTTAACTCAAGCACAGTGAAGTTGGCGGATTCAAGGGTCTGGACTAGGGCTGCAACCAACTGTTGATTAATCTGTCGGTTATTTACCGATAAACCGATTTGTTGTTTGGTCTACAAAATGTCAAAAAGCCCGAGATGATGTCCTCAAATTTCTTGTTTTGTCCACAACCCAAAGATATTCAGTTTACTGTCATAGCAAATAACAGAACCAGAAAATATTCACATGTAAGAAGCCATATTCAGGGGATTTTGTCTCTTTTTTTCTTGATTACTCAAACCAATTAATCAATTATCAAATTAGTTGGTGGTTAATTTAACACCTGACAACTAATCATTTAATCAATTAATTGTTGCACTTCCAGTCTCCAGACCCAGGCAAGAAAGGTTGTTGTCGTATGTGATTTAACATTATATTGAACATGCAACTATAAAACAACTTTCTGATGCTCAACAACTTAACCTGAGGCTCAGTTAGTGCTAATCAGTGTTAAATACTGCACTTAAGCTTGTTATAGACATAAAAGATTAAGTGTGATTTATGTACCTAACTCACACTTGCTCCTTTTATGTAACTTCATGTAAGAAAGAACTGTCTCTGTCGCTGAACTAATTCATACTTTATCCGATCTGGCTTTATTTTTTTATACTGTTTTCAATGAGGTGCATTCTGCTTTACCTGTTGTGCTGTTACTGCTCTGGCATTTAATTAATGGAAACAGGTATCAACTCATCCTGCAGTCGTCACAGCATGGTGGTCTCACGCATATGAGGACAAGAACATAAAACCTAATCTTTATCACCTTATTAGAAGCTATATCTCTAATCTAGAGAGTTTATCGTTTACAGGCTCTGACCTGCAGAGATCAACAAAACATCACCTTAGTATCAATCTTGGCAAAGCAAACACATAGATATAGATCGGTTTTATGGCCTCTGCTCAGTGATTAGTTTCCCCTGGAGTGTTGGACCTTTGGAGACTGTCAAGGAGAATGTGACATGACTAAACAAGCAGGACGGAAGGACTGGAAATTCATTTTGCACTGTCAGGGTGATTGGAGAGCAGTCCAGACATGCACGCAGTGACTCCCCCTGGGACACACACACACACACACACACACACACACACACAAAGCTATGAAAGGCCAGTGCAGGCCTGCTCTCGGCTGCTGTTGTGTACACACAGTTAGCAGTACAGTACACGCTCCTAGTCATGACCAGTAAACGCCTCAGGAGGTAGTTTAACAATCTGAGTCAGACAAGAGAACAAGGGTTTTATTATTTATTTTTTAATTATACATTATTATCTGTTTATTTTTAATGCTGATCACCTCAACCAAAGTCCATGTCCACTAAATAGACACAGTAAACAGAAACACAATTCAATGAACATGTTGCTAACTTCAGCCACAATAAGCTTCTGGTCATGCCACACCGAGTATGGATGTAGCAACAAACACCCCTAAATGTATTAAAGTGAGTGAGTTTATTGTGTTTGAATTCAAATTTCAGTTCATATGAGGAATAATGTGCTGTTTCTTCCCTTTAAAGTGACATAATGTTGTTTTATAAACACTTTGGGTTGGTGGAATCGCTCCGACCACCAGCCCAAAGCGTCAGTATTTAAGGACCTGGGAATAAGACTCAACAATCAACTATCGTTCTTGAGAGTTACGTACAAAACTTCTAAAGAAGCTGCACTCACAGAACTGTTTTGGTTCACTCGTATCACTCTCATTTTCGTTTTTGGCCACAGCAGGCAGCAGGTTTTCATTTACAAGCGCTTCCTGCTCAGCACCACACAGCAGACAGACAGTATATTGAAATGAATATTGGAAACAAACACTGTGAAAAAACATCATTTGCTGCAGGTAAAAGGACAATAAAGGAGGAGTATGTAAGATTTAGTGACATCTAGCAGTCAGGATGACAGATTGTAACCAGCTGAAACTTCTCACATGTGCCAATTGTGAACCCCCAGTTTGGATTCCTTCAGTGTTCATTGTTCAGGAGTTTTTTTTACTGGGAACCAAATTTTCCGCAGCAGTCTCTTACTCTTCAAAACTGTGATTTAAGCCAGTAAAAACACTGAATAAAGCGGTTTCAAGTTACGAAATCAGTGTTTCTCTGATGCTGTTTGGCTCCTAACAGACAGGCCGTTACCCCAGCACCTGCTAATGTGTGCTCTCCTTTTTTCTCTGATAACTAAAGATCCAGACGTTCAGGAGGCTTTTACCTGGAGCCAAATTGTCTGCAGAGGTCGCTTAATCTCCAAAGCAAACAGACCCAGTGATTTAAATCGCAAAAAATACAAAATGAAGAAGCTTCACATTACAAAATTAGTGTGCGAGGATGCTCATTGCAGAGGGGCTGCTCACTATGGTGAAAACACAAATGGCCCTATCTATAGCCAGTGTTTGGTTTGTCCATTCTGGGCTACTGTAGAAACATGGTGGACTCGATATACAAGGACCTGCTCCCTATGTAAATATACTCCATTACTGCCAATATTTCCCCCAAATTCCTAAACACTGGACCTTTAAGTGCAGGCGGTTTGTCCCTCCACACTCTACCTCCTTCCTCATTAACTTTCCTCCGGTTTCATTACATCCATTTCTGCTGTATTCTTCTCACCATCTCTCTCCCTGTGTGTCCCTGTGCAGTTCTGGCAGTATGGTGAGTGGGTGGAGGTGGTTGTGGATGACAGGCTGCCAGTACGCGAAGGCCGTCTGCTCTTCAGCTACTCTCACACCCGCCACGAGTATTGGAGCGCCCTGGTGGAGAAGGCCTATGCCAAGTCAGTTGCCACTACCAAGCATATGTTTCTGGGTTGTGTTCACCCACTCTTTTTCAGTGTGTGTGTATGTGTGTCGCCAAAATGATTCGACAAAAACACTGTTTCTCACCTTATCGTATGTAGGTTAATAGGGAGCTACGGAAGCCTGAAGGGGGGCAACATTTCAGAGGGGATGGAGGATTTCACAGGAGGCATCGCATACTCTCTGCAGGTCTCATCTCGTACCCCTCGAGTCCTCTGGAGGTCTCTGACAGCCGCCTTGTCTCGGGGCAGCCTGCTCAGCTGCTTCATAGAGGTATGTACACACCTCCAGGGGTTCACACCACACAGCTGGATGCTACTTCAGATCCACTTGAGTTCCTCTCTTTGTCTTCACAGGCCACCAACTACCTTGAGGTTGGTAAAGTGACAGATAACGGACTTATTAAGGGCCACGCTTATGCCATCACTGACACCGACAAGGCCAGTATGACACAGAGTGATGACAGTGCAGCATTGAGCTGCTGTCATTGTTTATTGTTGCATCAATATGTTGTATTGTATTTGCTTCTCTTTTTTCTTTAGATGCTCTGTATTATGTTCACGTCCTCTGTTTCTGCAATGATCATTTTCTCCACAAAGACCTTTCATGTCATCTCACCTCATGTTATCTTAACCTTCAGTGTTATATAATCTCACTGAAATGTAATCTAATCGCAATTAATTTCATCTCCTCTCATATCAGTCTAATCTACTCTGATTTAATTTAATCTTGTCTAAATGTAACCTAATTTTATGTCCTCTATTCTAATCTTAAAAATCTAATCTAATCTGATCTGATCTGATCTGATCTAATCTAACCTACCTCATCTCATCTCGTCTTGTCTCATCACAAGTCTTTTCTTGTCTAGTCTTCTCTCATCTCATCTCATCTAAATAGTCTAATCGAATCGAATCTACTTTATCTCATCTCTTGTTGTCTCGTCTCGTCTTGTCTCATCTTATCTCATCTAAACAGTCTAATCGAATCTAATCTGAGCTACTCTAACCTTCCTCATCTCATCTCGTCTCATCTCATCTCATCTCAACAGTCTGATCCGATCTAATCTAATCTAATCTAATCTAATCTAATATAATATAATCTAATCTATCTAATCTCTTGTTGTCTTGTCTCATCTTGTCTCATCTCATTTTAACAGTCTAATCTAATCTAACTGCATCCCAAACCATCACATCATCACAATATCATCTCACTTCATCTCAAATCTAATCTAATCTATTCTAAAATAATCTAATCTAAACTATCTAATCTCTTGTTTTCTTGTCTCATCTCATCTCATCTAAACAGTCTAATCTAATCTAATTACATCCCAAACCATCACATCATCATAATATCATCTCACTTGTAATCTAATGTAACGTAATGTAATGTAATGTAATAGCATCCTATTCCATTATGTCGTCATATTATCATCTCATTTTATCTCATCTCACTTCTTCTCAATCTAATCTAATATAATCTAATATGATCTAACTACAATTGATTTCAATCTCACGTTATCTCGTCATCTTGTCTCATCTTAATGAAATCAAATAACGCACGATAATTTAATCTCATATCATTCTATCTCACCATAATATAATATGGTTGGCAAAAAAATCTCCTTTGGTAGCTGTTCTGGAGCTTTTGATCGTATCACATGATCCTCTGAAGATGAATTCGGCCCATTGTTGTTGTTCTTTTTTTAAAAACTTTAAAGCCTTCTCATCCATTCTGTCTTAAAAGTTGTGATTGAAAACACAATTTTGACCTTAAAAACAGCAGAAAACCATGTGATACGACTGAAGGCTCCAGAACAACTACTGGAACAACTATGACTTAGTTGTGAGATTGTTTGGCCAACTGCCGTCTCATATCATCTCATCTCTTAGTACAAATAAAAGCATTGGGATAAAACTGACAAAAACCGTCTTCCTTTTATGAATCAGACTTTACTCATGTATGAACTTCTCTCTTCACGTTTCAGGTGACGAAAGCGTTGGATGAGGTTTTGCTGCTGAGGCTGAGGAACCCCTGGGGTTTTATTGAGTACCGCGGGCCGTGGAGTGACAAGTGAGGAAGCCTCCTCTTTGTGCATGTTGTGTAGGAGAGAGCTCACTCACTCACTCAGTTTGTATGTGTGTGACTGCAGGGGGAAAGAGTGGGACGGCGTGGTCAAAGCAGAGAAGGAAAGGATTGAGCTTAAAAAGAAAGAAGACGGAGAGTTCTGGTACGTGACATACTAAAACACACAAACTTACACTATGGAACATGTATTCAGATCCTTTACTTAAAGGGACAGTAAAATACATATTTTTCCTCTTACCTGTGGAGATATCAATTTCAATCTCGTCTATCAGTAGATGCACACTTCCTTCTACAAGATGATAGTGTTGGTGGGTGTAGTTCAGGAGTAAGGAAATAGTTTTGACATAAATTTTGAGTAACCAGGTCATCCATCCATCCATTTTCAACCCTTATCCAAAGCTGGGTCATGGAGGCAGCAGGGTGAGCAAAGTATTCCAGATGTCCCTCTCCCCAGCAATGCCTTACAGCTCCTCCTTGGGGACCTGAGGCGTTCCCAGGCCAGACAAGATATGTAATCCCTCCAGCATGTTCTGGGTCTGCCCCGGGGCCTCCTACCAGTGGGACGTGCCCGGAGCACCTCTAACGAGAGTTGCCCAGGATGCATCCTGATCAGATGCCTGAACCACATCAACTGGCTCATTTCAAAACGAATGAGCAGCCACTCTACTCCGAGTTCCCTCCATATGTCTGTGCTCCTCACCCTATCTCTCAGGCTGAGCCCGGCCACTCTTTTAAGGTAATTCATTTTGGCCACTTGTATCCATGACCTCATTCTTTTGGTTATTACCCATAGCTCATGACCATAGGTGAGGGTTGGGACATAGATGGACCAGTAAATCGAAAGCTTCGCCTTTCGGCTCAGCTCCCTCTTCACCATGATGGTCCAGCGCAGCGCCTGCATCACTGCAGATGCCACGCCAAACCGCCAATCCATCTCACAAAACAAGACCCCATATTACTTGAACTCCCTTGCTTGGGGCAATAAGTCACTCCCAACCGAGGGAGCAATCCACTGTTTGAACCATGAGAACCATGGCCTCAGATTTGGAGGTGCTGACTCTCATCCTGTCCATTTCATACTCGGCTGCAAAGTGCCCCATTGCATGCTGGAGGTCACAGTGTGATGAAGCCAATAGAACCACATCGTCTGCAAAAAATAGAGATGCAATACTGAGGTACCCAAACTGGACCCTCCCTCCATCCGGCTGCGCTTTGAGATCCTGTCTATGAAAATCACAAACAGAATCGGACATGAGGGACAACCCTGGCGGAGGCCAACACCCACTGCACACGTATTTGACTTTTTTTTTAACCAGGTCATCATTTCTTGAAAGAGAAAATGCCATTGAGTTGAATGTAATTTTTGGCACTTTGAGCACCACAAGCTGAGCAATGTTTAGTTCCATTATATTGGAGAGAAGGCAAACATCTCTGCTGCTGATATTTCAACACTCAGCAACTCATACCAGAACAATCTGGATTGATAAAGAGCACTACAGGTGAGAGGAAAATATGTATTTTTTATTTGAGAGTGAACTGTCTCCTAAATATCACACTGTGAAAATACTCTGCTTGTAAAAGTCCTGCATTCAAAACGTAACTGAATTAACAGTATGTCAGCAAAATATCCTTAAAGTATGAAAGGTATACATATTTCTTGTGCAGTAAAATGTTCCATTTTACTATTAATTATAATGTTTGTTGGATTAATGTTACTGCTGCATGAATGTGTATGTTGCATCTTACTGCTGTAGATGTTTAAGGTTGTGCTACAGCAATGCATCATCGTATGTTTGTAGTGTGGCTGTCCTGTGAGAACCACTTCAAATTTCAGATTGAATACCCGAAGCTGTCGGACAAATGTTGTGGATTAAAAAGTACAATAATTGCCTCTGATATGTGGTGGAGTAGAAGTATACTTTATACTTCTATTCCACTTCTCAAAGGACCTTGACTTTGTACTTCAGCACAGTACTTTAGTAAGTACTGCCTCTCTGAACAAAAAGATGTTTGATACAAATGATCCTCTGCATTAGGATCAGTGCTGAGGACTTCAGCAGCCTGTTTGACATCGTGGAGCTCTGCAGTGTAAATCCTGACACTCTTGTGGAGGGAAACGCACCTGACTCTACTTCCTCTCCTGCCTCTGCCTGGACCATCAGTGAACACGAAGGATTCTGGGTATCGGGGAGCTCTGCTGGTGGCAGCCGCAGATACACCCGTATGTTTAAGACTTGCACAAATATGCATTCAGGCTCTATCTGGATCATTTATTTATTCATCATACTGTTTTCCCCTCAGGATCGTTCTGGAAGAATCCTCAGTTCCAGCTGATTCTCACAGAGCAGGACCAGGCAGAAGCTGAAGATGAGGATGATGAGGAGGATGATGAAGATGACGAGGATAATGAGGTGATGACCCCGGAGGAGAAGAAGAGAGCAGAGAAACAGAAGCAGAAAGCCAAACAGTGCACCGTGCTGGTGGAGCTGCAGCAGAAAAACCGCAGAAAGAAGGATAAAGTCCACTTCCTCTACATAGCTTTCCACATCTACAAGGTCACATTTACTTAATCTATGTATTGATTTTTTGAATGTTTTGAGGCTCTGCACCTTTATTCTGTTTTTGAATTGACTCAAACCTGTCTTTGTGTTTCTTCATCTTTGCAGGTTCCTCCTGAGGTCAGTGTCTCATGGACAATATAATAGTCTTCTGTAGGCTTAAACTAATATCAGAGCCATCTTACATTCTTAATAATAGTTTGATTAAGTACAAACTTGCTGTATCTTTCTTCGTACAGCTCCAGGGTGTGTGTCTGAGCCGCAGCTTCTTCATGAGAAATCGCCCTGTGGGTCGCTCTGGGAAATATCAGGCTCAGAGGTAAAAGACCATCATGAGAAATAATGACTCCGTATTTAATAATCAGCTCAGCAGCAGGGACCAAACAATCAACAAGATGCGTTTAACAGTTTTATTAAAGAAAAACATGACTGATGTGCGAGGCTTAGGCTGCTTGGAGCTCATCTGGTTTACCGAATGAGTTGTGGGGGAGCTTCGACAGGAAATCTGCCGAAGCACCTGGGCATGACGAACCCCTCGGGACTCCACATAGAGAGGAAGAGAGAAGAAGAGAAGAAGAGGGTGGGAGGGTGGGGTGAAGAATATGAGGGTAGCACAGGGGGAGTTGGTTAGATGGGTATTTATGCAGGAAGTGGCGTAGTTGAGGTGTGGTCCTGCTGCCAAAATTCTGATAGACAGCTTCGGTTAATAAAAAAAACGGAGAATCTGGTCCTCACTTGGTGCCTCTAGGACCTGTAGACCTGGGTAAAACTTCCTGTATACTATGCTAACTGTGCACTGAATTGAGTGTAAACCCTTAAAACTTGTACCTCAACCAGCTTCCGCACAAAACCAAGTCATACTTTTCTAACTAAATGCCAAGCTTGAAGAAGACAACAAATGATTGGTGATACTTTTAGTCCCATAACCCTCAAACTTTGGAAATATCCTAGCATAACTCAAATGATCTGACACTCACTGTATTTAATTTGGCTTACGTGCCTGAAAAAGTTATTTTTGTTGTGTGGTTGTGGAATTCAAATTAAAAAATTCATTTGACTGGAGGTGCCGAAAAAGTAGACATATATAACAAGAGAAATAATCCATTAAACATATGTAACAGTAACTATTGTTGCTCATGGCCCTGATGGTGGCAGCCATTACACACATGAATTGTCTCCATCCAGGGGTGTGTGGAGGAAGCTGCATCTGGACCCGGGTAACTACATCATCGTGACGTCCACCTACCGACCCAACCAGCCTGGAGAGTTCTTCGTCCGCATCTTCTCCAAGACTGGAAACACCCTAGGGTAAGATGGAGGGCAGATTTAGCTTAAAGGGCTCAAAACATGGAGACACATATCAAAAGATGACTGTTAAGCTGAATTTTTTTTTGTCTCCTTGAGCAAGACAATAGTCTGGTTACAGGAAGAACGGCTCCATTTACAGCCACCTTGCGTAAATGTTCCCTGCATGTTATTGTTAAATCATAGACCCACAACACTTCCTGAGGGCTCCCTGAATCACCTCCTGCCTCACTCACTCTCAAAGGCACAGTCATCGTCACCCACACTCCTCTGTACCTACACTCAAACTTACAATATACTACTGTATCATTTAGAAATTTGCAATTAGTCTCAACAACAATAGAAGCGCTGATAGAAGCACCTCTTATGGCCTCTGTTAGCAACAACAGTCATTTATACAGCTGAGAGCAGTGTAGTACGAGTACTCACGCTGATTATAATAATCACCTTTATTTTTTCAGTAGTGGAGATAATTATCATTTTTATAGCTGAGACTGGAGCGTCCTTTAGTCTGCCAGCAGAGTTAACATCTCAGCAGGTTTTTTCTGATCTTGTGACAGACCATTTTAATTAGTCCTTTATTGGTACTGTACAGTAATGGAAGTACATTTACTTATGTACTGTGCTTGAAGTATTTCCAAATTCTGAGATTTTATTCTTCTACACTACCACACCTCAAAGGGAAATGTTGTACTTTTTACAGCAATACTCGTATTTAACTCATTATTATTTAGATAAAAAACATGTGATCGACTTAAAAAATATGATGCCTTGTCAGAGATTAAAGGTCATGCGTAACCATTTAGGTGTTTTTAGTTACGTGGCTGGTTAGACCTGCTCAGGTTGGAGTTTACATGAGGTCATCTACACGAATAATAAAGTTGGAACTTGTTTCTCAACAAAATAAACAGGAGAGCCCCCACAGTCCTGAAAAAATATGATCTTGCGTGCATAAGATCTTTAGGACCTTTGGGAAATTCATAATTTAACATTTTAATGAGCCTATTATACATAATAAGTAACTTTACTTTTAATAGTTTAAGCACATTTTGCTGGTGATACTTGTGTAATTTTACTGTTGGACTTTTAATAGTAACCACTATTATAGCGAGTATTTGCACATTGTGATATTGCTTATGTTACGTTAGTTCACCCCAAAATCAAGAATACATGTTTTCCCATCCTTCCACCTCTATTGCAGAGTGTTGGGAGATATCGGCTGTAGAGATGTCTGCCTTCTTTTAAATATAATGGAAGTAGATGACACTCCATTTGTGTGCTTAAAGTGTAAAAAAACAACCCACATTTGTTAATCTCACCAGAAATGCCTCTTTCCGGAAATCATGACCCTGTTACTCAAAATGATCCACAGCCACTCATGTGAGCAGTTTCATGTAGGAACTATTTTCTGTCTACTGAACTACACCCACCAACCGTTATACCATGCAGAAGGAAGCGTGCATCTACTGCTAGCTCACCAAGCACCACTGAACTAGCTTACATATTAGCTCAGCCAAAGAGTATGATGTTAATATTTACATTTCACGCTATAACGAACATGAGCCTCCCATCTAAAGGTAGATGCTCACTTTCACCTGTGCAGTGATACAGCTGGTGGGCATGGATGGATTACCATAACGGGCCTGCCGGGCACAGGCACGGGCCCAAATTCATGCTCAAATTCAGTCATACCAACCAAAAGAGACACAACATGACCACACAGAATTGCCAGGGAACTACCAAGAGACACCAATTTAACACAGAGGGGGGCAAAAGAACCGCAAAGTGTCACAAAACGATTACAAAGAGACACAAAACTATGACAATGAGAAAAAAAATATCACAAAAAACACAAAACAACCAGAAAGAGAGTCAAAATGACTACAAAGTGACACAAAGCAACAACACGGAGATACAAAATGACGAAAAGAGACTCCAAACAGCCAAAAAAAAACCCATTTAGTTTAGACATCTAGTTCCATTATATTCAAGAGAAGCCAGACATCTCTGTGGCTGTTATCTCCAACACTTGGCAAGTAGCACTACAGATACAAGGAATAATATTTATTTTTGTTTTTTGGGTGAACTGTCCCTTAGGGTATAAAAGTGTAATTTAAGAGCCAATCTGGTGTGGTCTTTGTGTTGCAGGACTCAGGACTTCACCTGCTCCTCTGGCTTCCTGCCGGTGAGTTTTGTAGTGTCTTCCACATACTGTACACAAGCAAATGACAGGTCACTAAAGAATAAAGCATGTTTATGTTTGTTTGGTGTGTGTGTGCCTCTGAACAGGTTATGGCAACTCCTGTCTCCCCGGATGATCAAGTGAGAATCCGGAGGACCTTTGATGAGGAGGCTGGCTTGGTAAGAAGACTTTCTGATTGTACTATGACTTTATGTAATGAAAGTTAAAATTTGGGTTTGGTTATCTGATTTATTCTGTCTCCTCTGGTAGGATGACAGGCTGAACGCCAAGGAGCTCATGCAGCTGTTGAACAGAGGTTTGAATCTCCAGTTTATCACGTTTTTAATGCTTTAGCTGCGTCTGAAAATGACACAAAGCTCCACCACCAGTGATATTTGACTATATGATACCCCGTAACAGCCACTAGATGGGAGCAAAGTAGTGACACGTTACCTCAGAAGTTGCAGAGGAGCCATAGGAGGTCACCAGTCTAGACGGAGGCTCACAGCTGCAGTCAGATAGAGTACATTGAGCTTGGTTCAGTAATGAAAGTGACTGCACTTGTCCTCATCTTCACCTTTCCTCGCCTTAATCTAATTTAAACCTTTGTTATCTTTCTCTGCATCAATCTGCGCCTTTTTCCTGTAATCACAGTTCTTGACAAAGATTACCATCTGCCACTGGAGACATGCAGACAGCTCATCTTTGCAGAGGATGTATCCTTTTGTCCTCAGTATATTCTTTAATATAGCTCACACTGCAGTCTCCTTGTTGTTCAGTACAATCCTTGTTTGTCTTTGACCTAACTGTGGATACGTCTGGTTTGATCAGTCCTACAGAAATGACATATTAGGCTCTGCTAGTGTCACACCTAAGCCGGGCAGATGTGTGCTGACGAGGGGGTTCGAACCCCCGGAACTTTGGTTGAGTCATCGTGCTGCCCTGCCAATAACATACACTCTGCTTCCTCATAACGTTATGGCTCTGTCTTCTGTCCTGTTGAGATGTCCTTAACTCTGCTGGCAGACTAAAGGGCGCTCCAGTCTCAGCCGTAAACAAACAGAAACCCTGCTGTCCAGTCTGCGCCATCTGCAGGTACAATCCAGTGTGTGTGTATGTGTGTGTGTGTGAGACCATTACATATTCTAATGCTGCTTTTTTCCCAGTCCGTCTTTTTCCAGTTCGATGAGGACTCTTCTGGGACCATGAGCCCCTTTGAACTCAGTACAGCGCTGCAAGCTGTTGGTATGTACACACACACACAAACACACAAACACACACACATGCATACACACCAGTATGTGCACACAGATGGTTGCTGTTGTTTGGTCTTCACACCTCTGTCCACTCCTCTGTTTCACAGGGATGCAGTGTGATAATAAGGTGGTTGAGCTGCTGTCTGAGCGCTTTGCATCTGGAGACCGTCACATGCCCTTCCACAGCTTCGTGTCATGTGTCACCAGGATGCAAAAGCTTTTCGGTAATACACATTCACACACATACTGTACACACATGTCCATCATTGCCTCTATGCCACACACATTACCACGAGAAAAGGCTCCAGCACACCCGTGACCCCAAACAGAATAAGTGGTTACTACTAATGAAAGAATGAATGAATACATAACATCTTACCGGAGGAGTGAAAGGCAACATACACACACACACATGCACACACGCAAACACCTGCTTGTCTCCTTTGTGGTGCAGGTAATCAACTCCTGTGAAGATCAAATTTTAAAGAAAAAAGTGAATTCCCACACACACTTATCACCTCTGCACTGAGGCACCAAAAAAGTGTTAATGTTTTGGTCACATGGACCCCTCACAAGACATATTTTATACATTCATCTGTTTTTTCAGGAGTCTATGTGACCGAAACATCAACGCTCTCTGGTGTATTAGTGCGGAGTTGAGAAGCATGTTTGGGAATTCACTGTTTCTTTGACATTTTACTGGAGGACAAATTCTTTTTTGATACTTAAAGTTTATTTTGCTGATAAAACTAATGTATTTTTACATAAATAGGATTTTGATTGCAGGACATTTACTTTTAACAGAGTACTTTTACACTGTCGTATTAGTACTTGTACTTAAGTAAAGGACCTGAGTACTTCTTCCATCAATGTGTGCAGGACACTGTTACTAAAATTACTCTAACAACAGAATAGACTACTGTTATATACATCATGATTTAATTATGGTGTGCAAACCAACATGTTACACATGAGGCCTGGTGACGTACAATTTGCTTTTAGATGATCTACATGAGCACAGGTTGTTTACATAACAAGTTTTATGGACTTTTGCTTAATAAATTCATGATCTCTTTTTAAAAAAAATCAATTTCAATTCAGTTTTATTTATAAAGTCCAATATTACAAATCACAATTTGTCTCAGAGGGCTTTACAGCATACAACACCCCTCTGTCCTTGGACCCTCACAGCAGATAAGGGAAAACATTTTAACTGGGAAAAACAAAATGGTAGAAACCTCAGGAAGAGCAACTGAGGAGGGATCCCTCTTCCAGGGCGGACAGACGTACAATAGATGTTGTGTGTACAGAACAGATCAACATAAAATGAACACTAAACTTGATGCATACTGAATGTCGAGTCTTTGCAGAGACACTGTATGCAGTCATTTCCTCCTCTCTTCTCCTCAGCTCTGTATGAATCAGAGACCAGTCAAGAGGTGAAAGACAGAGGCATCAACTCTGTGAGTATCTGGCCACATACGCTCCATTATGTGTTCACACTGAGCTGAACCCGAACAGGTTTTCTGACGTTCTCCTCTGTGTCCACCTGCTGTCCCCCCGCAGTGGCTGCTTCAGTTCCTGACAGTGTGAAGACAACACTTTATGAGGAGGGTCTCCAGCTGAGCCACAACGTAGACAACACACATAAACTGTACATAACCATGTATGCCTTGTTCCAAAGCAACAGTGGTGGTTCAGTTCATGCTTTGCTACGCCGTTGTTTTTATTCTTGCTTCATCTCCATTCTTATACACCTGGCTTATCCTTTATATAGGTTCAAGGTTCAGCTTTATTGTCACTATACAATACAGGATTGCACAATGACATACAGCTGTAACCCCACCTACACTACACACACAGAACAAAATATAAATTAGAAAAGAATAAAACAATAAAACAAAGCAAAGTATATAAAAGTAACATTAAAGGAAATAAAAAGAAAACTATATATATACATATACACACATATATGTGCCTATAATACGCAGAGTATATGCCGACAGTATCATTTAATTGTTATGCAATACTGTTATATTACTCCACATTGTAGTAAAATTGATTTCATAATTACAGATGTGAGTTTAAAAGTGTCCTTATTGCTTTTTTCCTTAATGAGAACATTGTTTCCAAACCTAAATATAGTCCACATTATTAGGCCACTTTTCTCAAAGTAATTATCATATTATCAAGTTGCTCTTTAGAAATTAAGTAGTGAAGAAAAGAAAATGTTTTTCATAAGATTAAACATGAATGAAATGGCACACATGACTGCAATTACACAACCGAAGAAAGAAAAAATATCACTGCAACCCCAACAGTTTACTCATCCATGCACACATGAGCACACCCTGGGTAATATCTGCACACACACACACACACACACACACACACACCCTCACTCACACACACACAGTCAGTCAGAGTGAGCACTGCCTGCCCCACTGAGGGTGTGAGGTTTATGTCTCAGCAGCGCTACACGCACCATCTCTATTCTTATCGCACTGACGCCACGTACAGCGTCAATACACAATCGCCCCCTCCTCCACTACGTTCCCTCACTCCCTCCATCCATCCCTCACTCTTTCTCCCCCCTCCTGTTCTCTCTAGTAACTGTCTGAGTCTCACAATCTGCATCCTCCTCCTCCTCCCTGTTACACACATACACACACAGGTGCTGACTTGGAAACACACACACACACACACACACACACACACACACACACACACACACACACACACACAGCGAGCAAATGTCCTTTCTACACATGCTGCTATTAATAGCACCTTTGCTCACACACCACTTCCTGTTCATCGTTAGGTGAGTACACACAGGTTGTCCTCGGCAACAGTCCATCTACATTGTGATAGAAGAGGAAAGAAAGACGAGCGAGACAGGAAGGACCCATAGATTCATCTCAGTGTCTGGCCTCTCAATCAACTCTACCTGCTTTGTTAGTTTATTTTTATTCTTCCAGACCTCTTGTCTGTGTGCCAGCCCTGCAGGAGGTCAGCCAGTGTGACAACTGTGACCTCAACAAGGCTTATAAAACCAGGTATCTCCAGGCGTCACAGGACTGATGTGCAGATGTGCGCACTCTCACTCTCACACTGTCACCTTTTTTGTTTCAGAACAACCAAGAAACAAGAGCGTCTACAGACACACTAGCGGTTCTGTGAGGCTCTATTTATAGTATTCATGGGCACAGCAGTGTTTTAACTAAATGCCAGAGGTAGGACCAAGTCATTGTAATTTTAAATGTATGAAAGTCATGAAGGCTTTTAAAATTTGTATTAATCTGTTAAAACAAGTGCAGCTGAACTAAACAATTAAAAAGTAGCGCTTTCATAAAACAAAGCACTATTAACCAGTACGACAATTAGCTCATAGCACCACATTAGCTCGCTATCTATGTTAATGTTAGCTTAAACTTCTCCTCTTCTTTGTGCAGCTTCAGTTGTTGATCGCGACTGTCTGTAAATTTCGACCCACACATTTTACATACTGCAGTTTCTTTTTTGATGAAAATCGTATAGTTTTTTGAACGCAAACGAAAATCTCTTTGGTTTTCCAACTGGCGCTCAGTAACATGACGTTCATTCTTCATGGTTCTCTTCTGCAGTTTGGGTGGATGCTGTCGGTTCGGTTCAAATAAAGTGGATTTAAGTGTCGACTTACTGGGCACGAAAAGCGTTTCATTCAGGAAATGAAGGGAAATAAAGTGATTTTATTTCTCGTTACTGCTCTTCCTTCTCTATTTTCTCCTGTTGCATATCAATGACCTGTGTAGGCCAGTATTTCCAAACAACATCGGACAGGTGAATTCAGAAAAGGGGTACATAGTTCCTTTGTGAGTTGTATTCACTGATAATGATAAATGTCATAAATGAGTCAAAATCAATAAATCTATTATTTAAAAAATACTAAAATGTCGATGTTCAGCCAGTATAATTTTTTTGACCATGTTCACCGTGTTAGTTTAGTGTGTCAGCGTGTTACATTTGTTAGCACTTAAACAAAGTACAGCTGAGGCTGATGGGAAGTGTTGGACAAATTTTGACCTGATGATGGCGCTTGATGAAAAGTCAGAATCGCCGAAGTTAGAACAGGTCATCCTTAGGGGGAACATGGATGTGTGTAAATTTCTCAGTAATCGATCCAAAAGCTGTTGAAATATGTCAACAAATGTCAACCTTATGGGGTCACAACAGAAGACGAGTCTGTTTCCATCAATCCTCTCAGGAACATGAATGTTTTCTTAAAATTTAGAAGAAGAAGGAGAAGAAGAAATAGATATACTTTATTAATCCCCAAAGGGAAATTTAATTTGTTTTACTCTGTTGTCATATACACACAGGTTGGTAATACACACACATGCACAAACAGGACCTATACATGCATTAAATGGAGAGATGTCAGAGCAAGAGGGTTGCCTTTGACAGGCGCCCCGAGCAGTTGATGGCTCGGTGCCTTGCTTAAGGGCGCCTCAGCAGTGCCCAGGAGGTGAACTGGCACCTCTACAGCTACCACCCCATGCTCCATATTTGGTCCAGATGGGGACTCTGGTTCCAAACCTAAGTCTTTGGACTGAACTACTGTCGCCCCTGCTGCCGATGGAAATCCATCCAATAGTTGTTGAAATATTTCAGTCTGAACCAAACTGACAGACTGAAGCTGTCATCCCTACACCACTTTGCTAACGTGGCAAAAAACGAATCTAAAAACAACACTTCATCCTCTCTAACGTTGAAACTCACCATTAAAAAACTAACCTGAACCCTAAAACAAGCCTTTAAAATTATCTTTTAAATACATAAGAATTGACAAAATGATTACCGTCTCCTTCAAAACTTTATTTACTGAATTTTTTGCAGAAAATAGCAAAGAATGCAGAAAAACAAAATGTACATATTTGTGTCACCAATGATAAATAAGGGTACATAAAGTTACGCTGCAACTATAAAAAATACAGTTCCTATAAAAAGTGCCCTGGAAGTTTTTATGTTATTGTTTTACAACACTGAATGAAAGGAAAATTAATGGGTTTTTTTTAAACATGCTTATTATTCAACAGAAAAACTTTAATGTCAAATGAAAAGCAGATCTCTCCAAAGTGAGCTAAATTTATTAAAAACACAAATATCCACCTCACTTAAATCATCACTGCTGCAGACAGTCTGCTTGTAGAAGTCACATAATCAGTTCAGTTAACTACAAATACAGAATATGGCATGGGAGTCTGGGATGTCCACAAAAGGTATTTGTGTCATCCCATCCTAAAACTATTTTAAACTATAAGTGTGCTATTTTCATTTTATTTTTTTCCAGTTTTAGAAAGACGAAAATGTCGCCCATCCAGATAAACATTTTTCAGACAATTAGTAAATACTTTATCACATACTATGATGTAGCTCTAAGCACCTATGAGGACATTTTTAAGTGTTTATCAATGTACTTCTTTTATGAATATAACTGTGTTTTATTGTCATCTGTTTATACACCAACATTGAGAATAAACTTGTATCTGCTTAGAACTTCTTTACAGTGTTGTATAATATGATACAGTAGTGTCAATGAAATGCTAAATAGGGGCGTTTAAATGAACTGTTACCTAAAAGATGGCACCAACCCCTACGCCACCTCAGCCACAGCCCAAAAAGAACCTGTCACTCACGAGAGACCAGATGTACGCTGCCCAGGAGATGTTCAAGACGGCCAACAAGGTCACCAGACCAGAGAAGGCCCTCATCCTGGGCTTCATGGCTGGATCCAGAGAGAACCCGTGCCCGGAGCAGGGGGACATCATCCAGATCAAGCTGAGCGAACACACAGAGGTTCTGCCCAAAGTCGACGGCACCGGCAGCACCACCATGCTGGTGGACACAGTCTTCGAAATGAACTACTCGATGAGCAGTACTATCTCAGTCTTTAATATAATTTGGTATTCAGGGTGTGAGGGCATTAACTCTGATCCTATTGTCCCCATAAATGCTGTAATTTAACAACACACACCTCAACATAGGAGCAAAAGAAAGAGAAGCAGTCTGTGTCTGATCTGCTGGGATAGAACTGTAAACTGTGTCCCCTCCCTCATAGGCAGAGTGTTTATTTTCCCTTTTCTGTCTCTGTTGATTCTTTTCTCTCGACAGCAGCGGCGCTCATCCTTCCACCTGCTCATCTTCTCCTCCCCGCTCCCTCCTCCTCCCCCCCCCAGCTGTCCTGTGGGATGTGATGATGCTCTGACAGGCTTGGCGTCTGTTCTTGGAGGTGCTGGTATTTTTGTGCCACAGCGGCGGGGGCTGGTACAGGAATAGTGCCGGAGTTGTAGTGTGTAGTGTGGGAGTGGGATCTGGGGAGGGCCGGGATGGTTTGAGAACTGTGAGATTTTAAGCCATTGTATAGACACAGGAGGGAGACCAGGGAGGATTGCGTAAGTTGGCTCCCTGGCTGCAAATTTAGCCCAGGCTCGCTCACGCATAAATTTGATGAGCAGTACTATCTCAGTCGTCAGAGCCTGGGTATTTAAAGATGTCAGTGTGTGTTGGCATGGGATGTGGGGTGTATTTATTGCGTGTGTTTATTTACAAGTCGTGGCTGATAATTTGAGATGCAAAGAGCGGCGTTCAGCTCAGCACCTCTCCCCTTCACTCTGCTCTCTGCTCCTCACCCTGCTGCTGCTATTTATTCTCTAAATTTGTTGTAGACGGTGGTGACCAGGTGTTACATAGTCTGTGCCACAGAAATATCACTGTGATGTAACATCTCACTAAAACTCCTTTTTATATCTCCTCCAACTTCACCATATAAAGAAACTTTATATGCTGTCAATTAGACAGCAACAAGATATCTGTGAGGTTGATATATAGACTTCAGCCATTCTGTTTTCCACTTCTGTCTTCTGTTTTATCTGTTTGCATGTGTGAATGTCTGATTGGAGTGTTTTATACAGTATGAACATCTCCACCTATGCCACAGCCTCCTGTGATTTAAAGAAATGCCACCAGAGTATAAAGTAGGGATGCACCTACTCAACATTTTATCTACTGGTAACAATACCTCAACAAAGGTTATCTGCAGACACCAGTGCTCCCCTTTCTCTAAATTCAAGTAGCCCATCCATCCATCCATCCATCCATCCATTTTCAAGCAACACTTTCCACCTCCTCTTGGGGGACCCTAAGGTGTTCCCAGGCCAAATGATATATATAATCCCTCCAGTGTGTTCTGGGTCTGCCCCGGGGCCTCCTACCAGTGGGACTTGCCCGAAACTCCTCTAACAGGGGGCGCCCAGGAGGCATCCTGATCAGATTCCCGAACCACCTCAACCAGCTTGTTTCAATGCTAAGGAACAGCAGCTCTACTCCGAGCTCCTTCCGGAGGTCCAAGCTCCTCTATAGACTCACAAGTCAGTCTTTAGACGCTTTGCTTAACTAAAGACTGATGTCTTTCTCCCTGATTTTGTGTTTAGATGGGCGGATACGATTTCAGAGTTTAAAAAAACTCCCTACGTTGCAGAACCAATAGTAAATCTGCAGGGCGGTCCTTCGGTGACTCGCTGAACTCTTGTGCTCATAAACATAGTCCGACTAGAAACACGTGTAGCGGTACAAAATGGCTCAGCAGCGCTCGCAGAAAACGCCGTCAAAGTTAGTGGATGTTTCTCGCGTTTGCGGCAACACATTCTCGCCAACTAAAAGAAAGAAACATAATCTTTTACAAGGCCGTGACTCATCCGTCCGGCTGGACTATAGAGGCAGTCGCCTTGTTGTTTACAAATACTTCCAGGTAGAAAACCAGCAGAGTTTAGCTAACATTATATATATATATATATATATATATATATATA